CTCGCTTGTAAAAGCCCTCATTTTGCGTCTCAAACCAGGACTTGAAGGTGGAAGTCAGATGGTGCAAGGTCAGGAGAGTAAGGAGGATGTGGAAGGATTTCATAGCCACAGGACCGCGCTTCTGTCTGGGCAACATGAGAGTTGTGTACTGGAGCATTGTCTTGCAGGAGACAGACACCCTTGGTCAGCATGCCACGCCTCTTAAGCTTGATGGCGTCTCGCAATTTCCGCAGCAGTGAAGCATAATAAGCTCCTGTAATTGTGGTGCCATTTGCCAAGAAATCCATCATCACTACTCCTTGCTGGTCCCAAAACACCGTGAGCATGACCTTGCCTGTGGTGACTCCACATGCTTCCACTGCATCGACTGAACTTTAGTCTCAGGATCATAGTGATGGACCCATGTTTCATCCTGTGTGATAAGTCTGTCAAAACAGTTTGCCTGTTTTTTTTGGCACATGTCCAAAAGATCCTTTTAGCAATTGACTCGTTCCTGCTTTTGGAAAGGTGTGACCAACCTGGGAATCCATCGGGCAGACACCTTATGCATGTTCAAGTTGTCATGGATGATTTTTTCCACAGACCCTACACTAATCTTGACATCTTGTGCTAACTGGCGAACAGTTATACGTCGGTCTGCCAAAATGGCGGTCTCCACTTGATGGATAGTTTCCTCATCAATGGCTGAATGGGGGCGACCAGGAATTGCAGCTGTTTCCAAAGATGTCCGACCACACTTGAACTGGCGATGCCAGTGTTTAACAACGTCATATGATGGGGCATCTTCCCCATAAGTTGCTTTCATTTCATCGAAAGTTTCTTTTGGTGCGCGACCTTTCAAACATAAAAACCTAATCACTGCTCGGTATTCTACTGGCTCCATTGTCACACCCTACTCGATCATGACCCCTGTAAAAGTGGTAAGATTAATAGTTCGGTGCTGCAAATTCAGACATAACCCATAGATACATGTATCATTACACATGTCAAATTTCAACCAAATATGATAACCCTAAGTAGTTTAGGGGAAATCTTTAATGAACACCCCTCGTATGTCCTGAACAAGCTCCCTGTTTTCATCAACAGAAGACAAACTAATTGTAAATGATAGTTGGGCAGTTCCTGGAACTAACACATCAAGAGTGCCGAGAGTTGGGAAAGCAAGTGTTTGATTCTGATCAATGGTACTCGGGTTATTAGTTACAGTTACAGACTGTTTCGCCTGTGTTTGTTTGCATTATTAATTTGGTGTTAATATCTGAATTTATGCCTGGTTTTTGTTTATAGGTAGCAACCACCATTTTATTATTATAACCTATCACTTGGCCGATCTTAAGTTCCATATTACTTGGAGACATGTATAGTCCCACCCCAGAAACGTAGTCTACTTTGGATTGAGCGTACTGTATTACATCTTGATAACACTTTATAGAAGATGGTATGTCAATTGGTGAAGCAATAGCATCCTCTACATTGTGCACCAAGATTTGCCCATACATAAGTTCTTATTGTCTTATTGATCCATTAACTCTTACAACTCCTGGGTTAGTAAAATTATTTTCTGTTTTATCATAAAGAAAATCATTCCAAGCATTTCAAGCATCTTGTGGTTGTTAAACCTTTTGGACGGTGAAAGCAACACCACCCTTAAAGTTCATACGATCGTCTCTCCACTCGTTCCTCGAGAGAGCAAAGCTCGGAAGAAACTGACCTCTTTTCAGTAAATCATCACTGACTTCTTTAACAGAGTGTGTACCAGCGTATGGAATACCTAGACCATGGTTAACTTCATGTAGACGCCAATCTTTACCAGTAGAAACATAAAATTCCTGACAAATACGCTCATATGCTAACCTATTGTACAGAGCATTCCATGCTCAATCCAGCTGTAATGGGGCACTTATTTCTTTAAGTATGCGTCTAATCTGATAGTATACGTGAAATGATAAACCAGGCTTATTTAGTTCAAAGCTGGCGGCATAAAGAGATACACCACATCCTGTTGTGGCACACCATATGGCAAAGTTTGACTGGTTTTGCCAAAATTGCATTTGATTTTGGAACCAAACATGCACCATTTTGGTGCTAGTTGCCGCAAACCTGTATTTTTCAAAGATATCAGGAAACTGAACAAAAAACTTAGCACCATAGGCTCTTACTAAAATCGACTGGTTTGTAAGGTAAGTTGCTTCGATACTACTCTCAGTATTAACACCTCCCATATTGAAGTCATAATATAGTATCTTTGTATATTTAATATGTATGTTGCACTCCCGGTGTAAGGTGCCAAAATCTACCCCCCTTCAGAGTATACCCGGGTAGATTCTGGGAGCTCCCAAGATCTACCCCGGGGTAGATTCTGGAAGGCACCAGAATCTACCCGGGTATACTTTGAAGGGGGGTATACTTTCAGACTTTTCACCGGGAATAACAAATGGCAAGTCTATTCAACTGCTTCACACTATTGACACCTCTGCTGGGCAACTTCAAGTTGCTCTCTGCGATGTAACGTATTACCCGCGGTGGACCAATATAAGTGCTGCGAGAGTTAATAATAAGTTATTACAAGATAAAGACCGTCGCACTATATCTGATGAGTATTACAGCATATGCTCACTCAATGATGAAATTTAAAGCCTTTGGGAGCTAGTCTCACACAAAATGAGTTGAATGGGGTGCTGATATTAAGCAGTGGAGAACATTCTATAAAACTTGACAGGGACTTAGCAAATTCACTTGGTTTTATAAGAAGAGAAGTAACATTCGACACAACAGTGCATGGAGTTAAATTACCCAATAAAGTTCCCTATAAAGAGTTCTGCATCCATCTTGATCAGATCAGTACAACAGATAATATTCAACTCGAAAGTCCTTCAATTCTGCTAAGAGCTATTCCAGTCAAAGATGTAAAATACAATAGTGGTAGAACAGAATCTTTCTCAACATTACAATATAAAAAACTAAAGCAGGGTATTATTACAGATCTCAATTTCTGTATTAGATGTAAAACATCAACCTGTACATATAGGATATTTGAGTGTGACACTCCATATTATAAATAATGGTTGATTCTTCTGGCCCTGGAACACATAACCTTAGACAATGTCAAACAATTGCGCTTTCCGATCTTGGAGACACAGAAGGATTTGATAAACCCGGTACTGATGGTAAGTTATATGCTTTACACTTAACAAGATAATGTATACAAGTGGAAAGAAGTTATATTCACAGCACCAGCACCTAACGTAGAAGATTTAAATGATGTTGACTTTAGTAGACTCCATAAAAACACTTCATACAATCTTACTCGCAATGATGATAATGATGACAATGATGACTATGGTCAAAGCAAAAATGGAGTGGCTATTCGTTATTATCGTTATTGCCCCATCAGATGTGACTACGGGTAAAGGACATTATTTAACTAAGATAATGAATAGTGGGATTGTACTAGGGGCCTATATCCCCTCAAAACGAAAGAGTGTGTTAGTCGCTCCCCTGCCAGATGAACCAGGTCATATGTTATTGAGTCGTCCATCATTAAAAGATGGAAGTTTAAATTTGGTTACTGAATTCGATGATATATTAAATAACTTGAATGCTACACCTGATCTTTCTAAAATTATTATTGAAGTCTTTTGGGGGACTAAGAAATAAATCGCTTAAAAAACATCAAAGTCAACGTTGCAGTATTATTATTTCTCTAAGATTATCACCCGTTGCAACTCTTGAGGGGTTCAAGTTAATAAAAGTGAAAGCATTTCACTTAGGTATTTATGCCATATAATATACATCTAATAAGGCTGATATATACTCTCAAATCATTATCAGCCGACCATTTTAACACTCTTACAGCGTTGGAAATTGGCACTAGTTCTGTAGTCCTTGCCAAACTGCCCAACAGTTAAGGTACCATAAGGACTAGTAGAAATTTGCCATTTTTAAGGTTTTGCTATATGTTATCGTTAAAAGGACTAGTGGACTAAATCTGTTAGTTTCTACCCGTCTTATATCATAATATATATTATGGGTTTATATCGAGTGCTCGACGAAGCATCTGAAAAGATGGATACTGTTGATGGATTTAGATTACATCAAATAAGTGACATAAAACATCAAATAGAGAAGGAGAGGGTGTTGAGTTTTGGATTATATAAAAAGTATCACAGAGCTGTGAATGCTCTTGACTGAGTTGACACTGTACTTGTAACAGCTAGCATGGGACTTGGTGTAGCTCGTGTTTATTATCAACTATAATAGGCCGTGCATGGAAATAGCAGCCGGAGTCTTTGGACTTGCAGGAATAGCGATAAAATTTATTTATCATAAGTTGCAAAAGAAAGCATTAAAACATGATAGTATTCGGATACTCGCCGAAGTAAAGTTAAATAGCATTGAGGATCATATTTCAACAGCACTGGCTGATTGAAAGATATCCAAGGAGGAGTTTCGTTTAGTGTTTTTAGAACTCACCAAATACAACGCAATGAAGCAGGAGATTTGTTCAAATTCCCGTAAGAGCAGTCGCATTAGTGAAGATGAGAAAAAAAAGTTCATAGAACAGGTTAGACAACAAGCGCCATATTCCGTGCCAAAACCAAAGAACTGGTTGGAGACTAAAAATATTTTTTCCTTGATACATCGATCGTTGGATCACACATATCAGTGATGTCAAACCAACCAAATATGGTTATCAATTGTTTCTTTCCAATTTCGAAGAAGAGTATACAGTCTGGTCTCCTAGTAAAATGAATGAAGAACTTAGTAAAAATGTTGAATATCACTTTGTTCAAAACAATGGTATACGTATGAGTAAAAATAATAGAGAATATTTCCAATTCAATTTAGTTTAGTCTCATGACGATCATTGAATTGCATCATGGTTTTTGCATACAAAATTACCTCTGTAGTAGCTGTGTAGGGGGTAAATCTGGCTCCAGTTGCAAGGGATCACCATTACCTATACTACTGAAGGTAATATAAAAAGAACGGATTAATACCTAATACTTTGACTTTTGTAGTGCAAAATTCCTTGTTGCCATTGAAGTCTTCAGCTGTGAATACAAAGTCTTCCTCGGATACAATGAGTAGCTGATCTGAAGGCCATGTAGGTGTGATGGTCATTGACTTGATGCCAGTATTGTCAGATGGTGTTGGAGGAGTGACAGCATTTGATGCTGTTGTGTATTTCCTGACAGTTTTTTCGGCCACACAGTTGCTGAATGTAGGTTTCTGGGTATCTGTAAAACAACAAGGTAACATATATAAAACCTATATACAAGGTATGTCAATAATACTGAGTGAGTGCACTGGTTTTACACCTATATACTCGGTACATACAAGGTCTTAAAGCCAATAATTGTGAGTGATGAGTTCAGGGTTACGCCTATATCCTAGGTGCATACGAGGTCTTAAAGCCAATAATTGTGAGTGATGAGTTGAGGTTTACGCCTATATACTCGGTACATTCTAGGTCATAAAGCCAAACATTGTGAGTGATGAGTTGGTTTTACGCCTATACACTCGGTACATACTAGGTCGTAAAGCCAAGGATAGTGAGTGATGAGTTAAATTGGTTTTACGCCTATATCCTACGTACATACTAGGTAAGCCAATAATTGCGAGTGATGAGTTGAGGTTTACGCCTATATCCTAGGTACATACTACCGTATTTTCTTGTGTATAGTGCACAATTTTTTTTTCAGAAAATGAAACCGTGCAGGGGGAGCTGCGCATTATACACGCCATCATAAGATTTCAGGTATGTTTCCCTCATGGGTAAACAAAACATCCAGCCTGTATACTGGAAATCAAGTGTCAACAAACGGAATAAACTACCGATACATTCGTCTGTACCATTTTTGTATTTATATGAACATTATTAGAATAAATGAACATTGAATACTATTATATGAATTATTACATATGTATATTTACTTATATTTAAGTAAGCCAATAATTGTGAGTGATGAGTTGAGGTTTATGTTGTTTTTTATAAGCATCATTCCAGCCATATAACAGTAGGGAAGACCAAGGATGGCCTTCACACACTGTGCCCATATAGGGGGTCGAACCGGGAACTTAGACATGACAAGCCAACGCTTTTATTAATAGACTATACCTACTACCTTTAAATAATTATAGTACATATGTTAATGAGATATTAGATGACCAAAGTGCCAAATAACATTTCTCTTCACATGAAAGTTACAGATGACATGCATAATTTACTCTATCAGTTTCACCAATGTGATTTTACACTGTATCACAGTGAGCTCTAACATATTATGACGTCATTGTGACATCATAGCGCAATCTAACATTATGATGTCACAGTACAAAGATGCCTAACGTTGTGTGAGGTGTGTATACAACACATACATAAATACATAAATAAGTATGACAGTAGCAGGGAAATGAACAATAATTGTACGAATTAATTCAATTATTCTATATTTAGGGCTCCAAGCCGAAAAGCCTGGAGAGCCCTATTGTAATTGTTCGATTTATTATTATTATTTATTATTATTTATTATTCTGCCGATTTTTGCAAACGGTGACTATCTTTTGACGGAGTTGGTACAAGCAAACCATATGCAGATTCGAACATGGTCGAAGTCAAACATGGGTTAAGAACTCACTGGGACACGTGTGGTGATGTCTCACAAGCAGTTCATTACATTTGATGGCGTTGGTACAAGCAAACCATATGCAGATTCGAACATGGTCGAAGTCAAACATGAGTTAAGAACACACTGGGACACATGTGGTGATGTCTCGCAAGCAGTTCCTTACATTTGATGGTGTTGGTACAAGCAAACCATTTGAGGATTCGAACATGGTCAAAGTTAGAAATAGGTTAAAACATCATGGGACACCCAGGCACATGTCAATTTAGTAGTGGTGACGTCTCACAAGAGGTTCTTTACATTTGACTGCGTTGGTACAGGTAAACCCTTTGAATATTCGAATATGAATGAGGTCGGAAACAGGTTTAGCACTTTATCTGAGCAATGTGACAGGAACCCGGGGCCTGGACGAAAGCAGAACGCTAATCCGTTTGACTGGAGCCCAACTGACAAAGAAGTTAAAGCCTGTTAAAGAGTAACCAAGCCGAAAGGCTGAACAGCCCCAGTGTTATTGTTTGATTTAATATTATTATTATTCTGCCAATTTTTGTACCAGAGCTAGCAAAATAACCAGTGACTCGATTTTGTTCAAATTTTGTATGTGTGTGAAGACAGGTGAGTACTAGATTCCCCCAAAATCCCAAAGCCGTAGGCCCAAAGGCCAAGGGCAGATAACTAAAAAACAAGAATTTTTTTAAGATGTATTTGGCCCTATTGCTCGCAACCGCTTGACATCAAGCTGCTTGACATTTTTTGTTCTTTGACTTTGGTCATCGGTCACATGGTTTGGCAGCCATATTGGATTCAAGGTTTTCACAGTGTCTTTTTTGTACCTGTCTTCAAATGCAAACAACTTTGAGCCCACTGCATGAATTGCTTCCCAACTTTCTGAGAATTGTCTCCATACAGAACACAACAAATAATAATAGCCGTTTTTGGATATCTTTTTTTAAGTTGCAGCCATACTGGATTTTGATTTTAATCATTTTTGTCACCGAAATTTTACTTTAAAGATCATATCTTGTAAGGTTCTCCACAGAAACTATTGATAGTTTACATGAAGTTAGTGTGCCATATGTACCTCATTTTTTGTTCTTTGACTTTGGTAATTGGTCACGTGGTTTGGCAGCCACATTGGATTCAAGGTTTTCACAGTGTCTTTTGGGTACCTGTCTTCAAAAGCAAACAAATCCGAGTCCACTGCATGAAATGCTTCCAAACTTTCTGAGAATTGTCTCCATAGAGAACACAACAAATTGTAATAGCCGTTTTTGTATATCTTTTTTAGTTGTGGCCATACTGGAACCAAAGTTTTAACAGTGTCTTTTGGGCACCTGTCTTCAAACGCAAACAACTCCGAGTCCACTGCATGAAATGCTTCCAAACTTTCTGAGAATTGTCTCCACACACAACACAACAAATTCTAATAGCCGCTTTTTGATATGTTTTAGTTGCAGTTGTATTGGATTTTGTTTTGATAAAAAAAATTACCGAAATTTTACTTCAACGATCATATCTTGTTAGTTTGTTGACAGAAACTAAGTTTACATGAAGTTAGTGTGACATATGCATCTTATTTTCTGTTCTTGGGTGCACGGAAAAAGTAACACCACTTGGTTGTAATATTTGATTAATATTTGGGACACCCCTGGAACACACCAATTTCGTAGCGGCAATGTCCTGCAAACGGTGGCTATCTTTTGACAGAGTTGGTACAATAAAATCCTTTGAGGATTTAAACATGTTCGATGTCGGAAATGGGTTTAGAACAGATTTAGCACACGCCAGTTTCGTAGCGGCGATACCCTGCAAGTTGTGCCTACTTGTGATGGATTTGGTACAAGGAAACCCTTTGAGGATTCGAACATAGACGTTTGTGCACAGCACAAGGGAAAATTTCAATATATACAAAATATACAATTTTGTATATTTGGTATTTCCAAAATATACAATTTTGTATAGTTGGTATATCCAAAACTATACAATTTTGTATATATGGATAGATTTTACCACTGCTTCATTGAATTTTATGAGTCCGTAAGAGGTATTCTTGTGGGTTGAAAATATTACTAATGTTACCGAACAGTATTATTGCACGTGACAATAATACGTTAATACTATTTTCATTATGGCAACTATATTTGGAGTGTTATGAAATAATTTGTATTTCTTTATGTTGACAGCATTTTACATAAGAAATAGAACATTTGTGCAGATTTTAGTAACAGATAATGTAAATAATACCGCTGTCTTAATTAGATCGCGGTTCGAAAAGCACTGTTTGTATAACGAAAGGCTGCCGCTGTTTTAACTAGGTCGGGGTTAGAAAAGCACTGTTTGTATAACGAAAGGCTGCCACTGTATAAACTTAATTGGGGTTAGAAAAGCACTGTTTGTATGGGGAAAAGCTGCCGCTGTCTTAACTAAATCGGGGTTAGAAAAAACACTGTTTGTATAGCGAATGACTGACGCTGTCTTAAATAAATCGGGGTTAGAAAAGCACTGTTTGTATAACGAGAGGCTGTCGCTGTCTAAACTAGAATAACCAATAAACGGAATAGCAAGAGAGTAGCCTTTTAGAGATTGTCACGATCATTGCAAAATAATAGATAAAAAATCCATGAATTTAAAATTGTACAAGGAAACATATATATAGGAAACACTTTGTTGGAATAAATTCCTATTATATTACTTTCACGACATTAGTTCTGGAGTTTTCAAAGTAAAATTTAATATATATGTTTCTGTGATTTCATGTAATGGAGATTCTAAATATAAAATATTGGTTGATATTGTTTGACAAACAGTTGTACACACCGTCCATTGTGATATTTCTACTTAAGGATGTTTGTTTAGTCAATTGACATGCGTTCATGGTAAACAAGGATCATTAGTGTGAAAGGATTACTAAGTTTGTCATCCAGTATAATGCACTTCCACGATTAGCATAATTAGAACAGAGTTTGTAATTAGTTACATCCGGACTCCAGTTAATCAAGGCAGCTACATCAGTTGAGAGTGTGAGCTACTGGAGAAGAGGCGAGCAACTCAATGTGATTTATGAATTAGTGGAATTTTAATAAATAAACGAACGCCTGTCGCATAAATGCATTCGAACATTGAACACGCACAATCGCAGATTTCTATCGTACATTTGAGGGTGAATGTGAAAAAAGCAGTGCAGGATGCCTTACAGTGATTTGTCTTCAGAACACACAGTGAGCTCAGGTGAGTTTATTAATGATGATATTTTCATTCATTCATAGATATGGCGATCATGAGCGCTGACACTATATGTGTTCGCAATAGAACATTTGGAAGACTAGACACATATTGATTCACTATATGACAACATCAAATCCAGTATTTGTTTAATGCAACAGGTTTAAAGCATTCACTATTGTGCATTATTATAAAATACAATGTGTGTCGCTTTGTCTTCCATGTCAAATACATTAAGGACTTTTTAAAAATATAATTTGATATTACTATGACTTTTATATTATAACTAAAATTATGGAGTCTTGCATGTCCAGCCAGCAAACTATTGTACATATACACTGATGGAATAAAATAAAGGATCGCATAAATGATGCAGACATAAGATTATT